TACATCTCAGTGTTCGTCATGTCCCTCTATCGTGTTATTCGAATACGCCGTTACGAATCGTCAGGCACATGGCCAATTTCGAAACTGCGACGTTTCTTCGTTCGCTTTTTGGGTTCTTAACGATATGCGACAATTTCTGACCCCAAGAGACCAAAATGCGAGTACAGCACGAGCAAGAGAAGGCAAGAAGCACGAGAGCATGAGAAGCGACGAAGCCSAAGGCAACGCTCGAAAACGAAACTGAAAACCAAGCGATCGAGCGAACGGTTGAGTTGAATGAAGAGAGCGGGAGGGGGAGAGGCAGAGAGTGTGAGCGGGAGAGAGGCGTCGCACACAGCTGCACGCATTACGCCACAAATTTATTTGGATTGGGGTTGGGTCAAAATTTAAATATTTCAGCGCCAACAACAAAAACAACGTCAACTGATTTTTCGCGTTTCGGGCGCGTTTTACTTGATTGCTCGAACGAACGAACAAACGGTTCTTCATCGATCGATCGATCGATCGCTGCCCCAATCTACGATTTTGCCTGCATATTTGTTGCCTGTTCTGTTGCTTCTTCTTCTTCCGCTGTTGCTTCATCACAAATAAATACAAATGTTGGTTGGAAATTGTTTTCAACTTGGTCTTGAATTGACACCCCCCTCTCCCAATACTCCACTCGCTCGCACACTCTTGACAAACACATTCCCCATTTATAAATTTTTATTGCCTGATTGAGTTGACTTGGGTTGGGCTTGGCTTCAATGAGGGTTCGTTTTTTGGGCTTATCGAGGCGATAGAACCGGGCAAAAACGGCAACAGTTACGATCGTTATGAACGGGCTCCCCTTCCACACTGTCTAGCTGCTTGGGCGCCCCTCCCCGCTGCCTCYTTTCCYTTCCACACCCTGCTGACTGTTCGTCTTGCGCTCGACTCGATTTCTGACCTGTGTCAATATTTATTGGCTTTATTTACAGCCAGAGCCGCTTTTGGTATTTGCATTGAATTCGTGATTAATTTGCCTGATAAGCAGCAAGCCGTATGAGAGCCATGGGGATAGGTCTGGTATTTCCGATATTACCTAATTGAACATTGAAACGAAAATTATTATCTCATGCAATTAATTCAATATTTTAATCATTTATTTTGATCGCTTCCAGGAAAAGTTCATTCTCACTCAATTCAAAGTAGCTGAGATTTTTACTCGAAATTATTCCTTCCAATCACCGATTTCAATCTTACTTTTGTTATGTTCATCCATCATTCTCTGACTCATTCTTGCCTTCGTAACATAGGCTAATCTGCATGCTCTTCATTTCCATACCAAATTCATTATTCTAACTGATCCCTCCCCTCCCCAGCTCAAGCCTTCTCACCTATGTATCTCTTACACACATTCGTATAGTAAGCGCATGGAGAATTTCAACAAACCGTTTTATTGCCGCTCAATTAACTGCGTAAAGAGCACAAATACCAAAGAAATAATAATAAAATATAGGAGTCAAAAATAAAAATATTAAAGCTCATCTCGCACATTCGAAAATTTAATCAGCAGTAGAAAACAAATTCCGCTTGCATGACTTTTAATTTGGCTTGAAAGCAAATGCAGAAGAGAAGAGGAAAGAGGAAGCATGCAAAGGCTGCAACGGAAACGTCGAGCGCTCCCTCTGTCTGACATGCGTGTGAATGAGAAGGAAAGCTTTGCGCTTACGATTTTCTCTCTCTGTTCTCTTCTTTTATTTTTGCCAGAATTGATCATCGCAACATTTGTGCGGGCACGTTGTTGTTGTTGTTGTTGTTGCTGCTGCTGCTGCCCCTTGTGCCCTGTGTATGTGTGTGGGGCAAGCCGAGGGCCAGAATATATACAGAATACATTAATTGACACTTGGCCGGAAATAGTTCATTAGGCATAAATTACATACATACAGACAAAAGCCACTCTCCTCTCTCCCTCCCACACTCACTAGATTATACTGCTTTTTTTTTTTTTTGCTAGATTTCAGCGGCTTAAATGACTGCACGGGAATTCTGTCGTTATCGCCGTTTCCAATGGGCAGCGTACAAAACGTTGCAAGACACAAATGTTGGGCATTAGCATTAAACAAGACTCGAGATATGCTGACACACACACACACACACACGCCAACAGGCAGAGCCACATACACATGCATACGCATGCGTACACAGTAAATCTGCCTCTCTTCTGGTCTTTATCTATGCTCGCTCTTCCTTTCTCTATCGCACTGTCGTCGTTTTGGTTAGACTCAACATGTGTGCTCCAAATGTTTTTTGTAAGTTCTTACAAGAGCCTGGAAGAGACTGCGCGACTGCGCGACAGCGGCTGCAAAACAAGGCAACAAAGCGCAGACGTAAAGTAAAGCAGAAGCGAATGTAAAACACACAAAACAAAAACACAAAGTGGGCATATTAATAAATTCAACTAAAACGCAATTGAACGCGACCTCAGACATACAGGCACAGACGCAGACGCCAACGTTGTCGCCGTCGTCGTCGACGTCGCCACCAGCRAACCAAACTRAAGAGAACCAYCATTAAGCGGGCTCAAATCGGCCGCGCTCCCCAACAGTTCCCTCCTACAACACTCACTCACACACACATGCGCATAATATTTTACTCATTCCCCTTCTTAGAAACTGCAGACAGTCGAATGCCGTGCAGCAACGAAATGGAAAATGGAATAAGTGCAACAATTGTAGAAGAGGGAGCAGCGGATCGAGCTATGTACAAAGTAGCCGATTAATGAATGCAGCCTAAAAGGGCGGCATAAGCATGCAAGCCAAATGCCCTACACCCATTAATATGTAATTTAAACTCATTTGCATATTTGCGTATATTCAAAAGCTAATTGGCTCAAAATTATATACTCACCTGCTATTAATCACATATGATTTTATACATATTTATGTAGTATACATATATGTACATATGTTCTGTATATTTTAGGACAAATATTTCTATATTTATTTATATGCAAACCACAAGCTGCAAAGCTTTCCTAAAAACGTTGACTATTAATTCCACAATGCCTTATCGCTTAAGTGTAGGGCATTGCATATAGAACAGTTT